GCAGGAGGTGACCTTGACCGAACCCTACCGCTCCTTCTACCACCACCCCCATGCTGCCAATCATAATCCCTATCTTCAAACCCATCAGAACCCCCTTTGTTCCCACCACCACCCCTTCTTACCTCGTCAACCTTGACAGGGCTCATGTTCCTCTGCTGAACTGGATCCAGCCCGTCTCTCCGATTTCTCCGAAACGGGTCGGGTCCCGATTCAAAACGGTCCGGTGCGCCGTGCTCTTCCTGGCGCCGTCTATTATATTGCATGATTAATTGAATAAACAAAGGCAACCTCTAAACACCCTTTTGGTCGAATTAGATAACTGCCAAAGGGATCTTACCAAAGCAAGAAACCTACCGATCTGCAAACCCTAACCCTAGAAATATGCTGACAGAAGATTATTGCAGATAGAGATCAAGCAGAAATCTAAGTAGCTATTAATAAATGCGGTTAGATTTATTGCTGGTGCCAAACCTTTTTTGGGGAATCACGAAGTTGCATCGATCCATAGAGAAGATGAAGAATCATAGTAGAGTTTGAGTGGGCAATTTTGGGATTTCAATTTGCAAAAAGAAAATAGAAATTGAATTGGATAGAGTGATGTATGGCTTCTTGCTCTGAAGCACTGAAGATGAAACTTAAGATTGATATTTTGGATTCATGGTTGTTTTTGGTGCTGATAAAATGCCTGATATAGTCTTCATCTTGAGGATTTAATTAATTAATAATGGAAAATTATTGAATAGATTCGGTGCATGACAGATTTACAAGTGGACTACATTGTCTATTGGCAAATTAACTGATTAGGTAAATATAATAAATGTATCTTTAGAATATGATGATTTTTTATCATGTAAACTTTTTTCTTAAAAAAAAAAATAAGATGCTAAACTATATCTTATATATTACAGTAAAACTTATATGAGAATTTGACTTTTTGTTCGATAATTATAAAATGTCATTTTTTATTTATTATTTTTATTTGTAAAAATTAACATATTTAAAATATATAATTATAATTAGTACTATTTTAAAAATAAAAAAAAATTATATATCAATAAACTCTACAAACATTGATTAATGTACAATTTTTTTTTTACAAATAATATTATTGATAGTAAAAAGAATAGTATTATTTAATGGGATGTCACATCATAATGTATTGTATAAAACTTACATAATATATGGTAGAACGTTACTAAGTTTAAGTAAGGTCAGGAGTTCGAATCTTGTCTTGTGTATGTAGCGACGTTAAATCTTGGGACTAGCTATCCCACTCTTTGAAGTGCCTCTAACGTAGCGAGGAGATTAGTCACTGCTATTGACAGTAGGTAGTCTAGGGACAAAAAAAAAAAAACATTTACTATTTATCCTTTCCAATTCAATGGAGAAGATAATATTTTAAAAAAAAGTATATAATGATATTTAAGATAAAATATATTTATAATGAGAAAATAATTTATCTATCAATGAATATACAATGTTAAGATATGGTATAATTACTTTGAAAATATAAAAATGTTAAAATATATTTTCTTTTTAAATTTAATGGAAAAATAGTATTATTAACAAAGGCAAGGAAACATATATTATAAAAATATATTTATACTGAAAAATAATTTATCCATCATAATATAAATTGTTAAAATATACTATAAGATGATTAATAATTATATAACACAGTTGACAGAAAAAAAGATATAACTATTAATTATTTTGAAATGAATATTTTATAGCTTCTTTCAAAATGAAAAAAATATATAACATGAAATTTTAAACTTGTTTTATATAAAAAAAAAAATTTAAAGTAATTTTCACTTTTCATAATTATAATTTATAAACAATTTTGTATCCTATACATCAAGTGTATAATCATATAGGTTATGAGTCTCTTTAAATACAAGTTATAAATATTTTTGAGAATTTTTTTTTTGAAAATAAAGAGTTATTTATAATTTATAATATTGTATCCAAACAAATTCTAAGTAAATAAAAATATACTTTGTATCAAGAAATAAAATCTTGTATTTAAAAAATGTTTAACATTTATTTAAAGTAATTTAAAAAATGTAATAAATTTCTTTAAATGTATGCACTAAATACATATTGTAGATTATATATATATGTATATATATATATATATATATATATCATTAATTTTTATTAAAATATCTAATAATTTATCTTTTCACATATATTTTTTTATATTTGTAATTCAATCTAGAAATATGTATATATTATCTCAATTTTTCACTATTAAGCTAATTTTAATAGTTATCTTTTTACATATTTAATTATTATTGACCATATATGTATGTGCAGTAAAACTGGTTATTTCATAATTTTACCTACCTATTATTTTATCTAATACTCATACACGATTTCTAATTTGAATTTTACCAAATTCATTTTGTATGTTTTCTGCTTCTAAATAATATTATATGAATTACTTAAAAGCATGCAAATGGCTCATTCATATAAAGAGAAAATACTCCGAGTTACAAATGAAGCTTTAGTGTTGAGATGAAATTAAGATGAAAGATAATGTTAGACTAAACAAGTTATATTATCTTTTTTTTATATATATAATCCTTTTTTTACGCCCTTTAATATTTGAAAGAAAAATAAAACAAAATAATACTAAAGCACGTGAAAAAAAAATGATATAAGAAAAGGAGAAGGCAATAAAAATAAAAAATAAAAAATCCTTGCAAAACTTGTAAGTAATATACTTATGATGAAAGTTGTAATTGTTTCCCGAAATTCTCTTCATAACTTTTGGTAAGACACTTTATTATTTCTATATCCATTAATTTTTATTAAATTTTTGTAAGCTTCTTTCATTTTTTCCCCTTCCATTTTGGCATTAAGAAGTCCACATTTTAAGTTATTGGTTCATGATTCCTTGGAAGTCTACCACTTGTTGTTAAGTATGATACAAGAATTCTATGCTGTCATGAGAATTCTATGCTGCAATGAGAACTGTCAACAACTTGAAGATCTTGGCATGATTTTAGTGTTTCATATTTTGTACTTAACAATTGGTTGGTGAGAGAGGAAAGTTTGTTAAAGAACCAGCAAATTGACACGTAATCCTCCAAAAACAAACTTTAGGCCACTTAATAGCTTTAGCTCATGCTATCACAACAATTGGAACATTAGAACAAAAGAACTCGAAATAAAATATTTAAGAGAACATTGATACCGTATTGAGTTGGGAAGTATGGAAGCATTACTTGAAACTGTTCTTAAAATGTAGTAAGACTATTTTCAAAATCCAAACCTATTAAAATTAACTTATAACCAAACTACGTCAAGTTGGATTGGATCATGTTAACCCTGACTCTTAAGCAAAATGAAATTTTCTAGTGTACCAGAAACAATAACTGATTCAGAAAAGTTACATGGTATAGGTTTTCCAAATGTATCTTATGCATGAAGGAATGTAAGTTGGCACCCAAACACGTAGATTGCTTCCCTATTCATTATCTGACTTTGAATATAAGATTGCAACTTTGCAAGTAAGTGCCTTTTGTAAAAAGCAAAGATTCTAAAATATAAAAAACATATCCATTGACAATGACAAACAATACAAAACCACATCATAATCCATCATCAATATTAGGTGTTCATTGTGGATGCAATATCATATTATTTTCAGTTTCACTTCAAAAACTTGAGTGCCATTATCAGTGTCTCTTAAGGAAATAATATTTCTCAAATGCATCCAATTAAAGAAACAATTCTCATAATGGCAAGGAGCTCCTGGGAGTCTCTTTACTGCATTTAGAAGCCAAGAGAGAAGCAGTTGTTGAAATGGGAAGAAAGAGTATTGAAGTGAAAGCAAAACAAGGCTCTTGTTGAAATAAACACAACACAATAGTTGGAGCAAGTTGTGTTGAAGCACATGGGCCTAGTTTGTAGCAACACAGAGGAAATGCAGAAAATGAAGAACCTTGGGAGCATTGGAAGCAGTGGGAGGCTATCAACAGAAGAGTGTGAAGATGAGGAGATTTCAAAGATGGCCATTTCCACATTTCAATCTAAGGAAGAAGAGATTGAGAGGAAAAAGATGGAGGTGAGGGAGAAAGTTGAGCTTCAACTTGGTCGTGCTGAAGAAGAGACTAGGCGCTTGGCACACATTTGGGAAGTAAGTTTCATCACAAAGGACAACATTTTCTTTTTCAATGTTATAATCCGTTTGGATACAAGATTAAAAAGAGTTTTTAAGGGTTTTTCTACTTAAAAAATATCCTTATTTTTCAATAAAAAAAAAAACTATTTTAAATTTATATCAAAACAGATTCTAAATAAAGTTATAAAACATAATAAGATAAAGTGAATGTAAAGTGATCTTCGTAGATTCTATCCCAAGATCAAACAATTCCCAAAGTAGCTTGGTGTTAAGCTGAAGTCCTTGGGCATGATCATCTTCTCTTTTTTTTTGTACAATGTAGACCTTTGTGTTATTTCTCAGAGTTCATATATAATTTGGTTCCTGAAAGTGACATCTTGTATTATCTTTAGTCCCTGAAAGTGTTAGTATATACAATTTGTTCCTTAAATGTGTTAACTTATAGTCTTAGAGGCAATTTAATTCTCAAAAGTGTGAATATATATGACCTCTGAATGTATTAATTTTTTTCACATTATGATTATATATTTGTGATGAAAGGACTATAATGTGAATAAGTTAACACATGTGAAAACTAAATTGTACAAATAAACACTTATAGGGACCAAAAATAAATAGAATCTCACTTTCCGGATCAAATTGTATATTATTACTATTACCATGCTGTTGTTGTATGCAGAATGCAGATAGCTTCAGTTCTTTAAGTTAAATTCTAACATCAGTTATGCTAACCATCTATGTAATGTGTTGTTTTTGTCATAAACTATACTAGGAGCTTGAAGTGCTGGACGATCCAATGAGGAAGGAAGTTGCAATGGTACGCAAGAAGATTGACTTGGCTAACAGAGATTTAAAGCCACTGGGACTTAACTACCAGAAAAAGGTATAATACTTTTGCCCACTAATTAAAGGCACAAGGTACACACAGAAATTATTACATGATATGATCTGAACCATCATAATGAAAACTAACCTTTGATAGTTTTTATAGGAGAAAGAGTATAAAGAAGCTTTGGAAGCTTTCAACGAAAAGAACAAAGAGAAGGCTCATCTAGTAGCCACTCTAGTTGAGGTATAGCACTTAACAGTTATCAGTTCGATTTCCATGTCTTGTTATCGTTTTTAACTGTCTTGGTAACAATGTATATTCTCTTTTCATGTTTGCAATTTTATTAATAGATGCTTACTGAGAGTGAGAGACTGAGGATGAAGAAACTGGAAGAGCTATGCAAGACCATAGAGTCTATGTCGCTCAAACCATAACCTCTGTGTGTGATGTGCTTATTACTAGCTTGGTTTATTCAATTTTCAGTGGCTTGGGTTTAAATGTACTTACATTCTTATTATTCAAAATGCCTTGTTGACGGAACCATAAGAATAAAAAAAAAATCACATTGGATTAATTGAAAACAAAGAATCGATGCAGAGCCAGACATTGCTAGTTTACGTTTAGTCTAAATTATTCGTCGAAATTTAAAGTCAATATGTTATGCACATGAATCTACAAATGCTCGGGCGAAATTATTATGTAAGATTATAATTTAATTGATAGGGAAAAAAAAGTTTTGGTGTTAATGTTCAAATGTGCTTAGTTATTTACATTATAATCTTGACAAAAAGCAAAGTATTGCTCTTTGATGATCCACAAAATTTTAATATTATGATAAAAACTAGTAGTTTATTTAAAACTGACTCGCTATTTACAACTATTTTTTCATCTTATCTCCAACATTCGATTAACTTCATTTTTTTTGGGGTAATTTTAATATTTTTTTTAGATAATTCAAGCCAAATAAATTGTCTTGGAAACACATTTCACCTAATACATTCAAATATAAAACTCATCTCATATAATCAATTATACCTATATTGTTAATTATGAAAACAATCAATTTTTCATAACTAATGTAAACACACCGAAGTGAAAAGTATAAAATTTATCCCAAAAAAATCCCATTAATCGTTCGATCGTCCTGCACAAGATGAAGGAGCACCTATGTTCCCATTAATCAACATTACCAAGACTATAATAACTCAGATGAAGGAACAAGTATAATATTTATCCAAAAAATATTCCCATTAATCGCTAATGAACCTAGATTTAAGATTATGTTCATATGTCACATTAATTTTAAAGAACATTTTTTATAGCAAAAAATTATAATAGACGAGATATTTTAACACCTGTACAAAAAATTAATATATTATGTATTCTCAAAACAAATTTGAAAGTAAATATATTATAATGTTCAGTTAGCTAACATAATAGAGACTGAATGTACTAATCAATGAAAAAAAAAATATTGAAATTTTGAAAATAGAAAAGCTACATCTCAGGATATTAAACAAGGTCGATGTACAGTGAATCATGTAATATTTGGGAACCATGCTTAGCGTTTCTTATAAAGTAGAAACTATTTCACTATGGAATTCTTTTCTTTTTGGGTGGTGGGGGGATCATTTTCATCAAACATGGATTCATATAGGTAGCTGTTTGTACTCTGCCAAAAGTTTTGGAATATCATCTATCCGCAACTGCAATAGGATTAACGAGAGACAATGAGAGAACATTAAAGAGTGTTGTAATTAAACATGAAAAAGGAATGAGATGAATGATATAAATGGAGCACAAAGATAACTTCTGTATTCCATTTAATTTACTGATAAAATGATGAAGCCATTTTTCCTAATCTCAAGATAAAGTGGAAGCAATGGCAATTGCGTCACCAGATTAACTAATTAATTAAATTTGCATAACAAGAGTGTATCATTTGAAAACTATTATCTATCTCATATCTACCTACCTCTTGGAATTTTCTTGTAATAACTAAACATTATGAATATGTATTGTAAGAGCCAAAAATCTTACATCCATTGAGGGATAATACATGCCATGCAGCATATGATCATTAGATAATGGTATTGTTTAAAACAAAAAAGCTGAATCTAAAACAAGATTCCAATTTAGGTCAGAACTCACAAAAGCATCAACCGTACATATAAAATCAAATGAACATATGTTGCGCAGATATACCCCCAACAGAAAACAATCATAGCATCATCAAGTTAATTTTCCCAGAACAGGCACAACCAATATTTTATAATAAGGCACAGAGTGATAACATCTACACATAAATTGGTGTGCTCAAGGTCAAATGAATGCATGATTTTTTTATGTGCCTGATGGCATCAGAACTGTAGTATTTGAACTGTAACAACATATCTAGTACCAGTGCTCTGGAATTACTGGATGGATAGTTAGTATTTCTTTATTTACACTTCTTATAACTACCAGTGCTCTGTTTCATGAATTGCTTGTGTATAGGAATGACAAGTTCTCAAAAACAAAGTGCTAACTGCTTGTGTTAAGATGCACAAGTGGCTTCTTTGCCCACAGCTAACAACTAACAAGCCCTTCCTGCATCTATGGACCATAAATGCATTGGATCTTTCCTTAGGAAAAAGTGCACCTTCAACTATATAAAATTTGGGCCAAAAAGTAGTCACATAAATTATGCGAGTGATACCACAATATGATCTCCATACTCTGCGTTTTAATTTTTATTCTGACTCTATTTGTTGCCAGTATTTGCATGTGTAATAGATAAAATGCATTTAGGTTTCAATTAATAAACAGATAGTCTAGTTTCAATATTTTCAATTACACTCCCTCTGTTTTACCGACCCCATAACCAGTTAGCTACTACATCTACATGGACAAGTCGATTAGTAATTTCCAGGTGCAATTGATTTTAGGGAAAAAGATCCCCTCTTTGCATATCTCACAAGAAAAGGAAATGCATATAATAGAATGAGTTTATAGTAATTTGCTGGCTGTAAAGAATGTAATCAATCACAAACTTCAACCAAATTTAAATAAATTCTCTGCAACAATGGAAACCAAGAATGCAATACCAGACAACCTAATGTGCCTTTAGTTTTAATTTTCACCAAGTTGTAGCAATGGCATATAGTTTTGATAATATTTTCATAGGTACTCAGAAATTATCACTTTTACCAAATTATTTATATAGCATATCCAAGAAGAATATCTTTGATTTTAATATCAACTATATCCAAGGAGAATATCAAAACTATATGTCGGAATATCTTTTTTAAATGAAAAGGCATATGCAATGAGGGGAAAAAAAAAACACAGACAAAAGTGAATATCCATTTAACCACAAAAGTATACCTGAGTAGCATTTTTGACATGATAAAACTGATGCATCACTTGTTCATCAAATCCAGGTTGCTGGGCAGATGTCCTCCTTTCTCTAATGAAGTTAGAAAAACAAGCAACATAAACCAAACTATTCACCAGTCAAGTTCATAAAGAAAACAATTATCCATAAATTAAAAAATATACATATGAAGCTTCTTCGGTCTAATAAAAATTCCTTTTCTATAAAAAAAATGTTTACCCTTAATTTCTTTCAAATCCCTCCAATTTAAAATAAATAAATAAAATGTTCGATCTTCTATAATTAATTGACATCTACCACAAGGTTCTAAACCTTCTGCTAAGATCTCCAAGTTCCACTCTCTTCAAAGATTCGCTCAAGAAAGCTAACAAAGATTGCCAAATTCCAGTGGATCTACAAATTTTAGAAAATGCTACCTAGCAACTTTGATGCAAACATATCAGGTACCAGATTAGGCCAGAAGGAAGGTGACATTAGATTGTGTGATTAACTGCATACTAGTACCCAAAATAAAAATAGTAACAAATGCATGCTTGCAAAACTAAAAGCCACAGCCACCCAAAACTTTGCTGAAATAGGAGGCTCGTCAAGTTTAGCAATTAAGAACAAACTTTAAAAGTGTTGTAAATACTATAGGGGAAAGCATAGAAAGAATTACTCCCTCCAATTCTGAATAAAAGCAACAAAAAACATGTTTGTTGGTCTCAGATATAAGCAAATCTCAACTAAATTTACTCTATTTTATGCTTCATTTAATTGAGATTGTATTTCCAATGATCCATTTTATTCTTAATATCAAGTTTCAAGAAAGGGTAATTTAGGAAATTGGGTTATTTTTTAAATGGAATTAGTGCAATTAAATGATATTAACAAACTTGCTTAGTTAGCATGAATTATTTGTTTTTTGCTTATATTCAGAACCAGAAAAAGTATATAAAAGTATAGTTCTTACAGATAGTGCCTGTATATTAGACGTTGGTAATCCCGAAGCAATGGTCCAAGCTCTTTGAGTTTAACCATATTTGATTCAGACTTTCTCCAATGCTCACGAAGTGCTTCAATTGCCTTCTTATTGGGAATTGAAAAGTATTTCAATTAAAATTACTATGATATGGACATATAGAAAAGTTTCAGGCAAGTAAAGGAATCTTACTGGTGAATTTGTAGAAACATTTTCACCTGCTAATCTTGATGCTAATTCAAGAAGCTCTTTATCTTCCAACTCGTTTACAATTTGAAGTTTAGAATTGGATGCTGAAACTGATATTTGCAGTCGTCTTTGAAATTCAGAGAAAGGAAATTTCTCTGTTTGGTTTTCCTGACAAAGGTATCAGCTCAGCAGTAAATTAATGTAAGACATGAAGATAAATCTATTAAATAAAGGAAAGATAGTACAGTGTGTTCAAATTGTACTTAGAATTAATATATGAAATTCAAGGTTGTCAAGGAAGCATAAAAGTACAGAGGTATGATGTTGGGCTAAGCATCAAAGTACAACTTTTTCTTTTTGGATAGCAAATGAGGACACAACTTGGAGAGGGAATAGGAAAAGGTTGACTAAGAGTGAATATTGAGAATCTGGGTACCAAACTCAATATCAGATGCCACTGCACTACAAGACATTGTCAAAAGAAAGACTTGGAAAATGATTAAAAGGTGAAGTGATGAACATTATAATATGCTATAAAATAGAAGATCACAACCAAAATAAATAAGCCATAAAAAAATAATAACTCATAACAAAAAGACAAGCAGCTTAGGTTAGGCAACCCTTGGTGGCTTGGTCCTTAATACCATATTACCATTACAACAAGACAAATCAATCCAAGAGTGCATCCACTGAGTCATCATCAGATTCAATTCCACAACTGTCAACACTTGATTTCCAGCCATTTTCAACTCCATTTGATTTCATCCAAATTAAGCTCTACAATTATCTGAAATTAGCCTTTTGATGATGACTTTGTATAACATTAGCCTTTGTGGTTTGGCTCCTAGTATTATTTTCACTTGTTTTTCCAATGCTAGCTGCCCTTGCCACTACCCCAGTGTACCCTTCATTGTCATCATCAAAGACCCAAATCTAATTATGAAATTATTTTGTTAGCATTACTGTTTCATTACTTACAATATCACAGTTAACAAATTAGATAGGCTGCAGTTTATTTTGTTTAGTACATCTATTAATACTTAAAATTGGACGCAGCATATATTATAATAAAGCACTAGAGGTGAGTGCCTCTTTAACTGACAAAGGGGTGCCAAAAGCACTAAAGGCATGCAACTCCTTTGAACGACAGCACCTCTTCTTGAGAGAGGCACTTATCCATTTTTGACATATGGTGCTCTTTCAATAAAAGTTTGGTGTATTTGGTTGAAAAAATTATTCCATGATCTGTTAGCATTAATGTTCTCCTCCATAAACATATGGTGCTCTTTCAATAAAAGTTTGGTGTATCTGGTTGAAAAATTATTCCATGATCTGTTAGCAACTTAGCATTAATGTACTCCATAATTTTTGCTGGATATGATTGTCTTCTTAGCCTCATTATGGGTTCCTGCTCATGGATTTTTAAGGGTGTTTCTATATCATATTTGGGAAGGACTGGGTTGCTCTTTTGAGTTGATGCGTTTTCTGGTTTCTTTCATCTACTTTTCATTGTAGCTTTAGGAAAACTCCTGATTCTACAAATCTAATCTATCCTCAATGATTTGTTATTTAATCAAAATCAAAATAAGAAAAGATTGTGATTAGCAAAACTATGTAACATGAATAAATTATAACCACATTATAGATTAAAACAAAAGATAAGAAATAGAAAGTGTTGATACTTGGGCACAGAAGCAGAATTAAGCATTTAGCAACAAAGTAGCAAAATTAAGCATTTAGAAATAGAAAGCATTAAGTGACTACTGAATGTTGACTATAACAATACTCCATTATATTTCAACAGAAATACTTAATACTATATCTACTAATTTTCTTATTTAACCTAAATTTTGAATATTCCCTTCAAATTAAAAGAAATATTAGGAAGAAACAAAAGCACCAAGGAGATAAGACATACTGTTTTCCATATTAAATACAGGTGTCAAAAATAAAGAGATTAAGCCAAATATGGGATGGGTCATAATAAAAGATATGGGTGCTGTAATAACGAGATTAGCCATACCTTGAATTGAGGTTGAAAATCATCATTAAGAGAAGCAACATTCTTACTTTCAGGAATATTTCTGGGTGGAGATGCAGTTAATCTATTTGCAATTGGGTCCTCTGTGAAACATGCAAAAAAAGCGAGAGAAATTTAGGGACGCATTTTTAGCATCTGAATTGTTTTCTTTTTACACTTTCCATATAAGCTTGAAAGGTTTCTCCTTACTGAATATTCCTCAATAAAAAAAGTATTTCTTGAAGGAGTATTCTTGATTTAGTATTTAAATTACAGTACAAGACAAAATAGAAAGTATAAAGAATAGAATATTCCTTCCATTCAACTCAAAAACAATACTCCAAGAAAGCATACTCGTACAGAAGATGCAGCAAATCATACACGCACCAAGTAGGAGAGAACAAAATTTTTCATGCAGCAAAACATTACTGTTTGACAGAGAATCTTGTCAGAGAAGAAGTCATTGGCATTGCCAAACAAAAAACAGTTAATTACCCTTATTAGCACAATTTTTCAGAGAAAATACCCAAGAGTTGGAAAAGGAGAATTTAACAACAATAGCTTTGCAGACCATGAAAGAACAATGAATACCTTGAGGGACTAACCACCATGGATCACCATAAGTTGATTTCCCATCAAAACCCCCAATAAGCAAATACCGTGAACCAATAAGTGACATAGAATGGTATGCTCTAGCAGGAGGCGGTTCATTGCCTATGGCGAGCCGTTTCCAATGTGCTGAAACTGTATACAACAAAAGAACAAAAAGAATAAATAACGCAACCCAACAAGTAACTGAATGTAGTATTGCCATATTTGCCACTTTTTCCAGTAAAAACTTTGATCTTTTGCATAACTTTGTCATAAAATAATTTTTTATCATCGGAATTACAATGATAGTACCAAAGTTCAAACCTAAGACCATTTACATACTATTCAAACCCCCTCACCACTAAGCTGACCCTTGTGGTTATTGACTGTCATAATTTAAATAAAAAAGAAAGCTACCATATACAATTTGTCTCGAAAATCATGCATCTGAATATCATACTTTACAGACTAGCCTCTTCAGCAAAAATTAAAGCAACGTGTAACACACACTAAATTTTCATTCAAGGACGCAGTTGTGCATCATTAGCTTATTGCTTCTATCTAAAATATGGTAAACTAATCCAAAAGCTCAAAATGAAAACTACTCTTCTTGAACCTTAAAATGAAATCTTCCATGGATTATCATTATGGTTCCAAAGAGCAATAAAGGATAATTTTGCTGCTCCCCAACTCATGAAGCTCATATCATAGGGAAAAATGTAATTTGTACGAGAATTTTAAGCTAACAGAAAACAAAAAAAAAATGAAAATAAGGGGAAAATCTCTCACAAATTCAGGGATGCTAAAGTAATGAGAAGAAAGCCAAATATTTGTTATTTGATAAATTTTAATTTTAATGTTTACAAATTAATCTTTAAAAATATTACAAATAAAATAAAAACAACAAAACTGCAGCTAATGAACCTCTTTGGATACTACAGGTTAACTTCATAAAACCAGAATCTCTTATTTCCATCCACAGAAAAAGAAAAATAGCAAAAGACTCATCATGCATGATGCAACTATCATACATCACCAATTTTTCTCCCTCAAAACATTTAGCAAAATCCCAGACTATATTCTGTACGTGAGAATGTATGTGCAAGGATGCCAGAGACTATTAACAAGTAGGCTTTAATTAGAATAGATTAACAAAGACATAGCAGTTATAATGGTTCCGAATATAACAACTGTAATAGATACATAGGTATGGTGAAAGTTCTCACCTCTGTCTAATACAATGCAATCATTATGATAGATATCATAACGACTCAACCATCCACCAGTCCCATGTCCTCCAAACATCAACAACTGTAAAATCCCCTCCAAAAGAAATAAATAAATAACAGGATTTCAGGCTAAAGTGGTAAATTTATACAATCCGTATTTGACACTAAAAAGCTAAAAGAAATCTACAAAAATAGCAAAATTAGAAAGAGAAGGATTTTGCAAATGAGATTACATAGTGTCCTCCAGATGTAACTGTATGGCCACATCGTGGAGAAGGTGCTTGACCTGGAAGCTTTAATTGAGTCCACCCAGGTGCTTCATTCTCTTCTCTCCACAACAAATACAAACTATAAGTGAATAACCCAGTTTAATATGAAGCTACCAAGATACAAATATTTCTTACATTAAGAAATTGTATTAAAGAGGAGAGAAACTAGACAAAACATAAGACTTTCTCAAAAGAAAATAAAAGGAGACAAAGAACCAAAAAGGATTGAACATGTTTCAATTCCATCTAATCACTTTGCATGTCAAAAATGTAAAATCCCTTGAAACAATAGGCACTGATATTAAGACTAATGATAGCCTATAGGTTGCAACTGAAAACATTACAAAATGGGGGCCTCTTGTGGTGCCCATTCATTAGTTTCCTTTCATAATACTTGTTCAATTCATAATCCTCACCCATTTATGCTTTTTAAACCATCTCTGTCTATCTTCCTTGCATTTTTCTGTCACCTCTATGTCCTCCATCTCTATTTATCTTGAGCATTGGCACATGCTATGTTGAATGAAATGGCAATGTTAGGTGGTCTTTCTACCAATAACCGCGCGTGAGAGCGCGTGAGACGGCGACTGACGGTGGCTCGCGACGGGGAGGCCGATCGGCGACCTCTGAGTGTGCAGGCGGTGTCAACTCCGGCAACCACGGACAAAACTCGAAAACCCTAGAAACCCTAGATGTTGGCTGCTGGATTAGGGTTCCTGGACCAGATTGCTCTGGTACCAACTTGAATATGAATAATTTCTTATTATTGAATCTGAATGAGTACAATAAAATAAATAGGCATAAAATATAATCAATCCCTAAAGTTTAGGGATTTAGATAAAACTGACTAAGGAAACTAAATTAGAACTTAGGAGAAGATAAACTAGTATATCTAAACAGAATTATCTTAACATATACAATAGCCTTTGTTGTATAATTGAGACACGTGGAATTCATCACATGTCTCTTTCTCTCTTTCTTAACAGAAATGAAAAAAGTGAGATGGTGCCATGCCAACAGCAAAAGCAAAATATTGAGTGAAACTAATAGTGTAAGAAGTTTCATACTGACAACAGATCAAATTTAAACTACAATAAAATAAATAAATCTCACAAGGAAGGTTTAGCACCTGGCATGAAGCAAAGGAATAAGACATGACAACAACACTTGCAGCTGACAACAAAGTAAATATTTGCATATAAACATGGTAAAAACTACATACCTTCTTCAATGAGGCCCTTCAATGCCCATAAATCACCCATAATTGGTCCTCCTCCTCCTGTTAAAGTCAGGCTATATCACTCATTTGAGTCATTTCAGCTAATAAATACTTCTGAAATTGACATTACAGCAATTAATATATATGCCCCCTCAATTCACAGAAGTTATTCATTTACATTTAAGTTGGAGAAATCAAAGTCCAGAAGAAAAATTGCAGATTCAGAAGTTAAGTTTAACATGTGTGTCAGTGAAAGAGGTTTATGATGTTTAGCAGAGTGCAATAGCAGTGTATCTTTGAATATAGAAAAAATTAACTAACACTTCAACAATTTGAATTTTATTCAATCTCGTTTAAGGGAATTGTGTATCTTCATAACTTCATGACCATCATGCTAATCTGAAACGTTACCAATCTTGCCCTTAAATTCAAACCCAAAAAAGAAGAGCCAAATCTTGCTCCCAAACTATTATATTAAAATTACTTGCTTAAAACTCAAATAAAGGTGAAAGTGATGAAATGCACCAAATGGCATTTGAACATTGTTTGAGAAATTAAGACATACTCTTTTAACACTGGAATTCACAAAGTATAAATAGAACCAAGTGAGGAACAAAATAAATAATTATGTGATAAATTACTCTTGACACATATGGACCAGTAACAATTGAGTGTATTCTCTCTATTTGGATAAAAGGACTGACATAAACTAATAAAAAGATCAACATCCAAGCAAATCAATTCTTAAATGAGGAGAACTGTCACTTCACCTCTTCCACCGTAAACAAGCAACCGTTTTTCAACCATTGTAGCAGTATGCCCGCATCTAGGGTGCGGCAATGTTCCAGAAACTGAGAGCTCCGTCCACTCGAGGGATACTATGAGAGGAAGAAGACGATGTTATAAACTTATAATATATTTCAAGTGCATAACCAGGCAATTACATTGTAGATATAAAATTTAGTCTTAGAGAAACATACTCGTGTCCAAGACATAAACATCAGATAACCACTTCTTTCCATCCCATCCACCATACCTGCATCACACAGAATCCACCTCATTATATGTTTCAATTTACTCTTACTCCAGCCAATCAGCATAAAAGGAAGCCAAATCAAACACTATGGATCTCACATAACAATTTTCCGATTTCCAACAGCTGAAGCTGCAGCAAAATCTCGTGGCGACGGCAAGTCACCAAACCCAGTCAGTTCAGACCATTGCCATATATCTGGAACAGCATCATTCATTCCAAGATCCAGCAAGCCAAAATAGCATCAGTCCCAAACATGTCAGAAAGTTCTCACAGAACATGAACTCAGCAAAGACTATACAAAATGGCATACATACCTGTATCCAAAACCCAAAAGTCCCCCAACCTGGAAAATTCAAACACCACGAAATGTAACATACATTATAGTTATGAAAGAAACAAAACACCAAGATGCAGCACAAACCTTTGACCCCCAAAACGACCACCAAAAATGAACATGTGACAATCAATGGCAACGGCAACATGGAAAGCCCGAGGGCTGGGACCCACATGCCCATCTGAGCCACTTCCGGTGCACTCAGGCTGAAACCATAGCTTGGCCTCTAAAATATGTTAAAGGAATAAGACGTTCAATTTTGAGTAAATAACATACACAAATAGTGTAAATAGTGTGTTTACACTGATCTAATCACAAACTAAAATGAAATATAGCATACAATAAATATAAGTCAAAGGCATATCAACAACAATTTCTGAATAGTTGGGAGTCTAAAATTTTTAACACTAAAAATCGAAGTCTTAAAACAATAAAAACACGAAAAGGGGTTCAATTACCGATATCATATACAGCGATGTCGCTGAGAAACTTCTTGTCGACAAGGCCTCCGAACACGACAACCTTGGATTTGCCGATGTTAACAGCGGAGTGACCACTGAAATTGATACAAAGTGAGATTATGAAAAGGAAGTGAATAAGACAGATGATGAATTGTTACCTGCGACGTTGGGGAGGGGTTCCGGCGAAATCAGAAGAGTTAGCTCGAACCCAGTAATGCATTTTTGTTTTGTTTCGTTTCTAAGTTCTTCGATTCAAATGAAAGCAACAATACAAATGAGGATCAATCCAACCCTGCTTCTACCAATTCACAAATTTATTCTTAACCCTGAGCGTGAAGTGAAGTTATTAATAAATCAGCTTAATTCTATTGTTCTGTCATTTTACGCGGTGAACCAATTCAGCGATATGGTTACTTTGTAATGGAACTGTAAAAATACTTAACAAATTATATTAGAGAAATATTTTTATTTCTTAAAATATTGAAATAAATATTTTTAAAAATAATAAATTTAATCAAATGTATAATAAGCAAGAATTTTTTTTTTATTTAGTAAATTAAATAATCTAAATTACATAATAAGATGAAAGGTCAACAAGAAACAGAAACATTGCATCATTTCTCAAGAATATTGATATGATTCATGATTCCTCTAGAAATGTACCCTTCACTGTATTATGAACTCGAACCACACAAATCTAAAAGCTATCAAAAACCCTCATCATCACTTGTAAAATTCAAAGTCAGTATCAGGCTTCTTCACATTAGTCCTATAACCCTTCTCGAAGTCCTTCGGCAATATGACATATCTATTCTTACGAACAGCATGCATTCCTGCT